TTCTGCTTTTCCCTTTTTAAAAATGGGAGTTAGAGATTCCTTTTTCCAGTCACTGGGGACTTTACTTGACTGCCAGGATTTCTGGAACATGACAGATAGTGGCTTAGCAACTTCATCAGGCAGTTCCCTCAGGACCTGAGGATGAATCACATCAGGACCCATGGACTTATGCACACTCAGGTTCCTGAGATGGTATCGAACCTGATCCTCTTCTACAGTGGGTTTAGGGGTTTCATCCTCCCAGTCTCCACCTTTGCCCTTCTTGGTCTGGTCAGAATGGCTAGAGCACTTGGAGTTGAGGACTGAGGAAAAGAAGTCATTAAGAACCTCAGCCTTTTCTAAATCCAGGGTAGCTAGTTGTCCTGTTTTCTTCTGGAGAGGGCCTACATTATCCCTAGCCTTCCTTTTGTATGCAGCATACCTGTTGAAGCCCTTCTTGTTATCCTAAATATCCTTGACTAGCCTCAATTCTGACTGTGCCTTAGCTTCCCTGATTGTCTCTAGCTTCTCTTATGACTTCTGTATTCCTCCCAGTCCATTTGTCCTCCAATAGAGACAGGGAGTAATTGCTGGCTCTTTAACTCTGTAAGGCAATGACATAATAATCTAAATATAACTACAGGTCTCAGAGTGAGCTACCTTAAAGCTAATACTGTGAAAAAAAATATCTCTGGAGTGTATTTGCCAGCAGGTGGTTGTTACTACAAGTACGTACTGGATTTTAAATTTTGGTAATTTTTTTCTTTTCAATTTTTCTGCAGCATATTCCATTCAGGGACAGAATGTTCAAATGATTAGTCCCTCAAGTGAGTCTCATCAGCAAGTTGTAGCAGTAGGGCAACCCTTAGCTCTTCAGCCACAGGGAACAGTAATGGTAAGTACAGCTTGTAAGTGATTATATCCTGCTTAACTACTTCTTTCTGCATCTCAGTGGGTTTCAAAACTAGGCAAAAGATAAATAGCATTCTTGCAGATAATGGACATCTGAACTATTATCCGAAGGTTTTAATTTGGAACAGCCAAGTTCTCTAACTGCAGAGAAGTCTTACTCTTTTTTTTTCTGACTTTTAACTCAGAAGTTCCCATCCATTATATTTGAAAAACTCTAGATTTCAGCTCTGTTACATGCCTGTGTGTGAAAATTCACTTATATGGTGTTTTTTAAGATTGATTTTGTGGAGATGATGCACTTAAGGCTTGAGTGCTTGAACTTGTATCTTTAATAATGATGTGAAACTGGGAGGAGAGGGTGGTGACCAAATCATGTTCAACTCCACCAAAATAAGGCTGAGAGAAAGAGAGATTGAACCTCTTCTCTAAACATGATGCAAACTGAATATGATCTTTAAGCTATTTAGTAAAAATGGGAAGTTTCCTAGAAACACTGTAATTGTGGAATGCTAAAAATTGTGTGGTCATTTGTTGTTTTCTGGTGTTTTTTTTGTTGTGGGTGTTTTGGTTTTTTTTTAGTTAACATCAAAAAATATTCAGTGTATGAGGACATTGCTCAACTTAGCTCACTTCCATGGAGCTGTTCTTGGTACGTCGTGGCAACTTGTCCTGGCTACTCTTCAGGTATAACAGGAAATACTTGTCTTGCTTTTATGCCTTGATGTTTTGCTTGGGTTTTAAGTTGCTCTGTGAGCAATAGAAGAAGCTTGGATTCTTCTGATGGTGTACTTTGAATTACTTTGAATAAATACTGTATCATTTCCCTTGAATTCTGGAGCCAGCTATGGAGGGCTGCTGGTTAGCTTGAGTACTGTGTTAGTTTCCTCTCTGCTCAAAAAGGTTTTTCTGCTGAAAATGATCCTTCTGTATTTCAGCATCTTGTGTGGATTCTGGGACTGAAGCCTGGTGTTGGGGGTGCATTAAAACCTGGAAGAGCTGTGGAAGGGCCTAGCACAGTAAGCATCACTGTTTTTCAGTTAATGATTATGCAGTATTTTCTATTGCAATCTATAAGACACATTTCTGTCTCTATTTCAAGGTTCTGACTACAGCAGTTATGACTGATCTGCCATCTATATCCAGCATGATTTCAAAGCTTTTTGAAAACTCACAGTAAGAAACCTTGTCTTACAATTCAAATCCTGCATGTATGTCAAACTTGACAGTGTTTTGATAGCTGTTATTTTTCAGGTACCTTGACGATGTGTCTTTACATCACTTAATAAATGCCCTTTGCTCTTTGTCTCTGGAAGCCATGGATATGGCCTATGGAAACAATAAGGTATAGAAAGAGTTCTTTATTTTCTTTTTAGATGTTTTTGTGAAACTGGTAGAAGACTTATACATTTATCCTTTAAGGTATTTCTGATACTAAGAACAGTAACACGTTTGGTGCTCGAGTTAAAAATAAGTTGCATGGTATTCTTGTCTGCTTGCCTCATTCCTTGCATTCTGCTTGACACTTTTATCTTGTTTCCTGTTTCATTACTGGTTTGTTGCTCTCCAAACAAAGAAAATTTAAATTCTTACTGCTAATGTGAGTTCACAATTTATACCAATGCCACAGCACTTAAAAATTTTCAACAATTCATGCCACTGATCCAATGCCTCTTCCAGCTTTGTGGAAAATAACCAGCTGCACAGAACTCAAAACAATGAAGTGAGTGAAATTCATTGATGCCTGTTTGTTTAGAGGTTCATTTGAACCTGTGAGCAATCAGCTGCAGGGGAGAAAATAAAGAATTCCCCCTCATTCCCTGCAAAGTGAGGGATGGAGGAGGATTTGGGCAGAAAGTTGTCTTGGATAATTACAAATATTGTACCAGAAAAGATAACCTCTTAATATGGGAATGTAGGCTTTGAGGTTGGATCTTTTATTTAAGCCATCACTGACATTTGAGCATCTATAGTTAGGGATATGCTTGCCCTCTGCTTGTTATTGTAAACAGATGCTGTTTTAAAATGATGCATTGTAGTGAAGATTTGTATAATTTACAAGTTTTGAACCAGAGAATGTCTTGTTTGTGACTATTCACATGGCTACTAAATTCTCTGAACATTCTGGTTGTGTTCCTATGCTTTTTGTTAACTAAGGAATGTCATGTGTTTCCATTAATGAGATTGTGGGTGGATATAACTTTTAAAAGCTCTTACAATTTCAGAGCTTAGGGATTCCAAGTAGCACAGTGTGTTCTGTAAGGTGCTCGTTTTCATTTCAGTTTTCTCTGGCAATATACTTCATAGAAACCCTGACAATTTAGATATTAGAAATCCTGGGAAACCTATAGTATTCATGTCAGCCTCAGTAAACAACCTTTAGCCCAGAAAGGTTAAAGACTCTGTGATTGAATAAGACTTAATATATTCTCCTAGTCATAATGTAATCCTGGAGGAGAGTTCATGAAAGTTTTTCCTTGGTCTCTTGCTCTAGAGATAATGAAGACAGAAAACATGCTTTATAGTATTTGACAACTACAGAAACAGTTTTAAAATAAGCAAAGTTTGTGTTTAAAATCAGTTGAAAATGAGAATAAGAAATCAGCAGAAGTGGGAAGATATAATACCAACACAACACTAATTTTAACTATATGTTGATTTAAAAAAAAAGAAAATTAAAACAAGTCTTATCACAAATATTTGAATATGTAGTTGATGAATAGGAAGTTTATCCTATTCCTGCGGTTAATTTATGAAGCCCATGGAAGACAAAGAATTAGGGAATTATTAAATGAAATATTCTAGATTATTTTCTAATATGTCATTTGAACTTCAGAAGTTGTGGTGGGGAAGGAGGATATTTTCCTAGTAAAATCTGTTATAAAGCTGATTGGAAGGAAGAATCCGTGAAAACAAGAGTTTCTAGAGGAATATCAGTGCTCTGGTTGTTGTCCAAGTTGGAGAAAACGGTGTGAAAAATTCAGTGTTGTTCATGATGTGCTGTTGCTGCCGACTTGTGGCTCCTCGTGCAGCGCTGGGGCTGCTGCACTGTGTCCTGGCTGTGCAGCCTGTGCTCACAGCCTGCCAGACAGGGCTTCAAGGCTTCTGCTGCACTATCAGGTAGCAAAAGGCTCTGACATTACCTCAGATACCTCAAACTCATGTGTTCAAATTCCGTTTTGTTAAGGAACCATCACTTTTTGCGGTTGCTAAATTACTGGAAACAGGACTGGTTAACATGCGCAGGATTGAGATTCTTTGGAGGCCTCTGACAGGTCATCTTCTGGAGGTAACACATGGCTTTGATCAGTTGTACTAGAATTTAGTTTGTATTCATGAAGATCTTGTGGAAAATCCATTTTTGAAAGTGTTATTTTTTTTAAAAAAAACCCCATCTAAATCGTAATTACATATTTTGGTTTAGGCACTTTGTTTTTGCAGCTCAAATGCATCATAGTGTGAGTTTAAAAGTGAAGGTATGTATTTAAATACCAGGGTTTTAATATCTCTTACAAACTTCATCTTTACTGTGCCATCATCAGTCTTTATACATTTTTTGACACAGCAGTGTTTAAAAAGATAAATGTATTATACCTCATATATGTCTTGTAATTAAGGTAACACATATGGGTTTTACTGCTGTACACAGTATGAATATCTAGGAAGATTTTAAGGTATGTTTTTGCGTCCTTACCAGATAGATTGAAGCCATGAGATTTACTGACAAATTGTTGATTTATAAAAATTTTTCCCTTAATGTTTAAGCTAACATTTGAGTAGTGTCTTTAAGAGAATACTGTACAAATATAAAAATAGGTGTCATAATCTTATTTCAGTTTTTTAAGTATTTTAACTTCAACATGAAAAATATATTCCATCAAGGGAAAAGAGCTTATATTCTGAATTAGAAACTAAAACCAGGTGATGAAATGTAATTGTGTTTTTAGTTCTGTGCCCAGATATGCAGAAGAGTAAAATGCAACAACAGGGTTTGATTTAGAGCAGGTAAAAGAGAAACCTTTTCTTCCTCATATTCTAGAATGTAACAGACACTTTCTTACCACCAGTACATTATTTCAAACAGTATTAAGGACTGGCCATCTCTGTTTATGGAAGCCACATATTGTTTTATCTAGGAGAAAAAAATTGGATACTTAAGGATTTAAAGACCTAAGGCACAGGCATCTCTTCCTTTTGTCAAGTTTTCCCCTCGAAGACAGTAAGGTTCACCACCCACATCTAGAGGCTCTGTGTTTTCATCTAGCAAATAGTCTGTTTAAAACTTCTGTTTAAAAGAAAATAAGGGAGTACTTTAAAAGAAAATGAGATAGACTCTGTATTTCCTACAAAAGAGTGGTAAACACCCACAATGCATAGATAACAGACTGCCAGAAATACAGCATCTATTTCATTTTCTTCTAAAGTACTCCCTTATTTTCTTTTAAACCCAAGTTGTTGAGGTACAGTAAGGAAGGAGAAAACATCAGCTGCAAATTGAATTAAACACTATGTGAGGGAGTAATTTGTTCTCTGTCTCTGGTACTGAATATCTGAACAGATTCAGAGCATCATGAAGTAGTTCAAATTCTTTCTTTTTTTTTTTTTTTATAAGATGACAAAAATATAAGTAAATCAGGAGAGTAGCTGGTTTTTGTCTGCATTTTTTAACAATAAGCTGGCTTTTCTACATTGTCCTCCTTTTCAGTTTGGCTGGTGACTGAGAAGGGAATGATCCACCAACGAAAGTTATCAGTCTTCTTTATGATCCTGACTTGTACTTTGGGTTCTCACACTGTCTGAGCTGGGGCTGGAAGGGTGGGTGGGAATAGTTACATAGGGGTCAATGAAACTGTAGACTTACCATGTTTGTTTGAGGGTAACTATCTGTGCAATGGATGTGCACAATGTTTTTAATTTTTCTGTTCTAAAAAAAGCAATTATCAGAATGATTAGGTTTAGATAATTAGGAGACAGATAAATTAAGACAAGCATTGGAAACTAAAGTTTGAAAGTCTTCACTATTGTTTTGTCAAGTTTTTATAATAATGGAGTGTAAGGCTTATTTTACCTTCGATATGTAGTTACTTCTTGTGTTTTGTTCACTTTCTGTGTTGGCTACTGTCATGTTCCTTACTTGATTATGTTAAGCAGTGTGTGAAATTCCAATTTTGTAGTAGCTTAAGGTTAAGTTAAACCTGAGAGTTTCAGGCATTCATTGAAGGGTTGTTTAGTGCTTTTTAATCAATCATTAGCTGAATTAGCAGTCAGTATATTAATTCTGGAAAATGTATTGACTTGAACTGTGGTGGTTTTCATCGTGTTTCCTTCTGTGTCTTTCACTGCTTCCTATTGCTTCCGTATTCAGAAGGTATGTCTGTCCAAAAGATAAATTTCTTTTTTTACTATTAAACCTAGTTTTATCATCTCAAGATTTTTTGTATTCTTGCTTATATATATACAATTATAATATTGTACGCATATACTCATTTCATTAAAATACCGATTTTTAATATATTCTATATATTGAAACCTTGGTTAAATTAAAGTGACTTTAAGCAAAACATTGCTGTGTTTTCAGGTCTGTCAGCATCCAAACTCCAGAATGAGAGAATGGGGAGCAGAAGCTTTAACTTCTCTCATTAAAGCAGGACTGACATTCAGACATGATCCTCCATTATCTCAAAATCAGGTAAAGTAAGGTTAAGAGCAGCTGCTTTTCTCTTTCATTTATAAAGCAGCTTTACTATTGAGTTTATAAAGCCTATAGCTGTAATGTTCAGGTGTTAACTGCTGAGAATCACCTCATGCATTCTAAGAAACTAAACTATCCTCCTTTATTTTTCAAGTGCCTAACAAAGAGTGGTTATGCTTGAATATTATGTCCATTTTTAGAACAAATTATGGGTCACCCTCACCAGTGCAAACCAAACAATTCCAGGATGTTTAGAAGTACATATGTGACGTGGGGTTGGGTAAAAAATAAATTGACTAACCTTCTAAATCACAGCTATTCAATCTGTGATAAATAAGACATTCTGATATTTTAACAGAGATTCAGAGGATAGTTTTTTCAAGATCTAATAAGTGTAGCCCTTCTGGGTGAGCATAAAGATGTGTGACACTTTTTATGCAGCTGTAACAGCATGCTGTAGCTAGTTCCTGAGGAACCTGGAGAACAGGGGCTGGGGAAGTAGATTTTCTGCTGAGATCCTTTACAAACAGTATTGCAGAAAGGCCTGTTTGACTCTGAATTTGAGCATTTAATGAGTGAGCTACTGAATTAATTTAATGAATCTTTCATTTGTATGTTACCACTTATTAAACACAAAAATAATTAAGGATCAGTTAAATGTTAGCAGCTTTAATATTCTTTATTGTTTACCTTTAGAGACTGCAGTTGCTTTTATTGAATCCACTAAAGGAGCTGTCAAACATTAGTCATCCTGATATCAGGATCAAGCAGTTGGAGTGTGTGCTGCAGATTTTACAGAGTCAGGGTGACAGCTTAGGACCTGGTTGGCCATTGGTGCTTGGAGTCATGGGGGCAATCCAGAGTGATCAGGGGTAAGTGATGTAAATAAAATTTTAAAATCATCTACAATAAGAACAGTAGAAAGAAAATACATGCAGAATTCTTTCATGAATAGTCACTTCCATAATAACCATAGTTTCAGTGTATTTTTTTGGCTTGTGAACAAGTTTACTCAGACTACTCATTGGTAGATTATCATGCTTAAGCTTTATTTTGTCCATTGTGGTTTAATAGAATGTTTTAGCTAACACAATTAAACTAACAAGTCTTAGAACTCTAGAACAGAGAAGTAGACTTTACTGTATAAAATTATCTAAAGACCACTGGAAAGTCTAAACTTAACTCTACCAGACAGTTAAAGTGGACTAAAATGCTTCATCAGAATTTCAAGCTTCAACTTTGTTATAGTTCAAAAAGCCATTTAAAATGTTGCAAATTCATCTAAAAACATTAAAGTGACTTTTTTTTGTTTTGTTTTTACTAATGCTATCTCGTGAGGTATTGTTTTCATAACATTTCTGTGCTTTTGAAGAAATTTGAAATGAGTGTGTGCGTCTGTTTTGGTTCTGTTTTGTTTTTTAAGAGAGTCCTTAATACGGACTGCATTCCAGTGTCTGCAGTTGGTTGTGACTGACTTCCTTCCAACAATGCCATGTACTTGTCTGCAGATAGTTGTTGACGTTGCAGGAAGCTTTGGACTGCACAATCAAGAGCTAAATATTAGCTTAACTTCAATTGGTTTGTTGGTGAGTTTTGTATTAACCTACAGTGATGCCTTTTCTGCCTTTCATTTTTTATTTTTTTTAATGAAAACTAATCTGTAGTCAATTATACAAATGAAAACCACAACCTAAGTTTTCTGAGTTCTTACTAAACTCCCCTGATGTCATTTGGAATCATATGTAAATTTAGTGAGCACAACTGATCTTTACTCTGCACAATTCCAGGGTTAGTTAACGAAATAGAACTGTTTTGTAACCACGTTCATCAGTATCTTATTTTTAATACATTTTTCCCTTTCTAGTGCTTCATGTATAACTGGAGCCTAAAAGCTGGGGTAGGAAAAATTCTTTTTGCACCTTGCAGTATTTATATGCTGATCTTATTTCATCAGTGTAGGGAGATTAAGATCTTGATGTACTTTGCAAAATACTTTGTGAAAATGCGAAGTAATTTATTTCATGATCATTAAGAGCATTTACAATATTTTTTTAGTACAATACCATGTGTCTTAATTATTTTGCAGTGGAATATTTCAGATTATTTTTTCCAAAGAGGTGAAATAATTGAAAAGGAGCTAAACAAAGAAGAAGCAGTGTTGCAGAAACAGGCAGAAGAAAAGGGAATGATGCTGAATAGACCTTTTCATCCTGCATCACCATTTGACTGCCTTTGGTTGTGCCTGTATGCCAAACTTGGAGAACTGTGTGTGGATCCCCGACCTGCAGTTAGAAAGAGTGCTGGGCAGACATTGTTTTCTACCATTGGTGCTCATGGAACTTTATTGCAACACTCAACGTGGCACACAGTGATATGGAAGGTATGATGTGTGAGTTTCCACTAAAAGTTTTGTAAATTGCATGTGTGTTTTAATAGGCATTGACCATTTACCATTTAATAGCCATGCTGCTGTTTGGAATGAGGCAATTTTCAAGGTGGCACAATGGCAGAAATGATAATGGAAGAACTACTATTTTTGTTGTTTTACTATGAATACAACTATGTTATTTGAAGTTGCCTTTTTCCTCTTTTTTTTTCTGACTATTACAGGTTTTGTTTCACCTGTTGGATAGGGTTCGAGAATCTTCTACCACAGCTGACAAAGAGAAGATTGAATCAGGAGGAGGCAACATTCTCATCCATCATTCAAGGGATACAGCTGAGAAACAGTGGGCTGAGACATGGGTATTAACACTGGCTGGAGTTGCAAGAATATTTAACACCAGGAGATACTTACTGCAGCCTTTAGGTAAAATTTATAGTTAGTGAAAGATACAGTAGTAAACTTACTACTCTCATTTATTTTTCTCAGTTAAAGTACTGGACAAGAATCTTAATCTTAGCTTAAAAGTGTGTTTTGTTGTGTCTCACCTGAAATGTTATGAAAATTGTGGAGTTATTAACTCATGCTCCTTAGAGCCAAAAATTGTAACTGCTGATTTTATCTTCTGTATCATGGTACTTGCGATTAAATCTCAGGAGTCACAATTTTGGGTGCCTACTAGCTTTAAATTACAGTAGCCTGATAACAATATTAATTCTTCTATTCTTTTGGATATCAGAACATGCTTTTCCTCTTGTTTTTCTATGGTTATGCAACACTTACCTGGAACTCTCCTGTGGCATCAGTGTGTCAAGTTTAACGGTGCTCTTAGAATGTAACTTGCCTGTAAAGTCAGTGGAGTATTGAACATTTACATTGTTCAGTTGTATGTAGTAATATTTTACAAAAAATACTGACTTTCTACAAAGAGAAAGTGAAAAATAAATAGAGAATATATAGCTTGCAAAGAAAATTCCTCATTGTATCATACCTATACATCCCATAGTATAAAGTTAATATATGCCGACTAGAAATGAGTTGTATCTTATTTAATTTTGGTTAATTGTCATACAGATATCAATATATTAATAGCTATCAAGAAATGTGGTAGGTTTTAAACTATATTAAACTTGAATTAAAGCTTAATAAAAAAATAGGTTCTATTTTAGTTATTCAAACCCTGTAATTAATAACACAGAAAATGGAAGGTTAAGGCAAAAATTAATGAAAAACTCTAATGCCCCAAATGAAGTCTTTCCAATTATCAGAGCATTTTAAAATCAGTCCTTTATAAATGCATTGCATGACTTGACTATAGATTTGACTCTTAATTCCTTGTGTGTATTAACCCTTTTTTAAATCAACAGGTATCTGGTATGTATAAAATCAAATCTGTTTCACTATACTATATAAAGAAAATATATTTTAGTGGTACAGGATGTGGTATGTGATTTTTTTCACTAGCAAATTTAACATGAACCTAGATTGTTTCATTCTTCGTATTTGTATATTTTTCTGTCACATTCTTTCTGGTTATGGTTGAGCTGAAATATATATTATGAAAGTCATTGAAACTGCAAACTAATCTCTTGAAATTTCTGTATACTAGAGTAACAAGTACATGAACAGACTTTTAGAGAGGCAGGGTGGGTGGGAAAGGGAATAGGAAGCAAGTTGCAAATTGATTGTTTTCCTCCCTCTCTCTCTTTCTTAAATAGGAGACTTTTCCCAAGCCTGGGATGTTCTTCTTGATCACATCCAATCAGCAGCACTCAGCAAAAATAATGAAGTTTCCCTGGCTGCTCTGAAAAGTTTCCAGGAGATCTTACAAATTGTTTCTCCTGTGCGAGACTCTGAGAAGCCTGAGACACCACCTGCCATCAATGTTTCTGTACCCCTGGTGGTAGGGACAACAGCTGCCACTAGCCTTGTCAGGTCATTCATGAGAACTGACTCCATAGGAGAAAGAATAGGAAGATACAACGGATCGGAACCGCCTGTAGTAACAGATGAGATTGAAGACTTGAATCTCTGGTGGGCAGCTTGGAACAGCTGGTATAGGATTGGTTCAGAAAGTACAAGGCCTCCAATTACTTGTGACAAATTGACTTTCATTCCCAGCCAGCCTTTTCTTACAGCTTTAATTCAAATATTCCCAGCCCTTTACCAACACATCAAAACGGGTTTCAGCATGGATGATCTCCAAAAGTTGGGTGTCATTTTGAACGGTGCCGTTTCAGTTCCAATCAGTTCAGATGCTTCCCCTTTCATCCTTCCATCTTACACCGAAGCAGTTTTGACAAGTTTACAGGAAGCAGTGCTTACAGCTTTAGATGTTTTACAAAAGGTAATAATGTGACTTCAGATGTGTGGTTAAAGGTAAACTACAGTGTGTCTCACTACTCAGAAATATAGCATGAGGGCTTGAACATGATTTTAAAAATGATTTGTAATTGCAGAGTGTATTATATTAGAACAAGCAGATCTCCATTCCTGGTGCCACCCAGGTGCTCTGTATTGAAAGGAATGGTGTACTCTTTATGAAATGCTCTTTTGCTTGATCACAGAAATACCTTAAGTGTTGTGATGTAGCTGTTTACTTGTCTAGCTAATATTGAAGTACTGTTGCTAATTGGTATCAAAGGTCTGTACATGGAGCTAGGGGAACAGTCCTACAAACAGTGGGAACTCATCCTCAGAGAGGTTGCTTTTTCTCTAGATAGCTGAAAAGAAAGAAAAAAGTACTGCTGCTTTCTTTCTGGAGTTATAAAACATCTCCTTGCAAAATTCACTGCTCATTCAGGAAACTCATTTATTCAAAAGAAGCAAAGTTGACAACAAATGAGATCGTGCATTTGTATTAAGCACTGGTTTTAAAAAAACAAGCCCCCCCAAATACCTACTTGGGAAATGCCAGAATTAAAACTACCCATATGACCTGACTTTATTCCCTTTGGATTTTCATGTTATGACTGCTTCGCTTAACTGTGTGGTCATACTTCCCCCTTACTACTGACCTTACCCCATTTAGCTCACAGAACACATGGTGACTACTAAATGAGCAGCAATTCAGTATCTTTTTGCTTAGTGTGGATTGATTTATCTCATACTTAAACAAGGAAGGCAGAATCATTATCTTGCATCCATTCCTTTAGTTTATGGGTTTAACAAATATTCATGAATGTATTTTGAAAACAGAGGTATAAGAACAGGATCATAGAAAGGCTTAGGTTGGAAGGG